GATTGCCCCAAACAACACCTACCCTTCTCCTCTTCTCTCACTAAAAAAAGGGTGTTGGGGTGGGGGTTGGAGGATAAAATCCTATTCAAAAAAACAAGTCTTATTTGATTATATGGAATCTGTACAGTTAAAACCCCTGACACTATACTATATAGGTTAGGAAATGTGATGTACTATAGATAGATATCCATGTTTTTTCATATGATGCATCATTTTATAAATACATTTAATTAAAAAATCAACTGAATATAATTTGATATCTTGTTCCTCCAAGTTTTTTCTTTTAGACACAAGTGTGAACATGCAAATGTGTCAGAATGCAACCCAGTTAATGTTCCCTTTAAAAGGGTTAAAGCTAAGAAATAGTAGAAAAACAGTAATAAGGCCTTTACCCAGCGATAAAATGATTCTTTAGCTATTTAATCGATTTGTTTTTAGTTACTTTAAAATGAACAGTGTCTTCTGATGTTTGATCACTGACCTGTGTGATATCACACGCAACTTCATTATTAAGGGTGTAACCTATCCTATCAACCAATCCCTTATATTACCATGGAGGGCGGACTAAGAGAAGGCAATGTAATATGCCCAAACAAACTATCATTATATCAAAGATGAGCCAGTCAGCAGGGATTCAGACACTGAACAGGATTCTTAGAGTATCAGAAGAATAAAGTTTAGTATCTCAACCAAAGGTGTGTCTGTGCAGAATGATGACGTGTGGAGATATTTCTGTTCTCTTCTAGAGTTAAGGGCCTCTAAGTTCAGGCAACTTTCGGCTCCGGAGGGGCCATTTGTTCCAAACATGGGGACAATAACCTGGCATCAGCTGGCACAACAGGTGTTGGAAACTGTTTGGCCTCACACACCACACACACACACACACCCCACACACACACACACACACACACACACACACACACAAACACACACACACACACACACACAAAAAACATTATACAGCTGAAAATATGCCACCTAAGCCACCTGTGATGGAAATAAATATATAATACGCCGCATAAATATAGCACGGGACATCTCTGGCTTCATTTCTCATAAAGTTTAGTTGCTGAGCAAGCGCTTGTAATAACCAAATCTCTGCAAGCAATGGCTGCGTGTTTTGAGGTTAAATAAGATTCAAATGAGGGAAAGTCCCCTCGTCTGTGATTACAGCATCTGCATATTTCATGCAACCGAACACTGTTATTCTGCTGAAGAAAGTTTCAGCAGAATAAGCAGGTGAAGAAAATTTGACGTTCTTTTTCTGCAGTGACAAAGCAGAGCGTGGACACATCGAGCACTCACACTGGATGCAGCGAGAATGTGAGAATGTGTATTCAGTATGCTGCACAAGGTCATGTTAAGATAAAAATACCTAGTAGCCTTTTATGGGTCATCTTTTAAGTTGAGCCTGACACTTGATGAAGTGATCCATGTGCAGCGCTTGAGCATTTTCACACTTTCCTTCCAGCTGCAACGCTGGAAATGTTTGAGTTTCGTTTTATTGTAACCGCTGACTGTGACATTTCTACGTATTAGGAAAAATCTTCTTTTTAAATAGTTTAACACACCAGTAAATTTGTCCAGTTAAGGACTGATAATGAGTTGCTTGTATGGAAGAATTTGTTGCTAGGTAGGACACTTCAGTGCAATTTATGCTTCAATATAGTGAAAAATTAACCTTCAGAGCTGCTAGAATTATTATTCAGTGAAAGTGCTGCTTCTTTATCGGTGGCGGTAAAGCTTTTAGGACAACGCTGTGAACCACTCAGCAACCTTCCTCTAAGTGTGGGTCAAATAGCAGAGATGCCATAAGCATCCCAGCATTCTGTATCACACTTTTCATTGCATCCTGTAAATAAATCTTGCCCTCCTCGCTTGACCGGCCAAGAATAAAAATGGGACATGCACCAAATGGTGTAACTATAGAAACAAACACAGTAAGCTTTTTATATTCTGTTACTCTCCACGTTCCTCCCATAGTGAGGAAAAAAGTGAAGACTTAAAAACAAGAACTTCCCATTCAGATAGTTAGAAAAGCCTGATATTGATTGCTGGGCTGGAAGCATGACTGATGAAACAGGCGTGTATAAATCACCCGATGACAGCTGCTTAAGGTGTCTGTCGAGCTGGTTAACTGGTTAACTTGCATTTCTCCAAATTAGACATTAAAGACACGACATGCTTTTAATAAGTGTCTAAGATAAACAGAGAAAGAAGCTGGTGTGATGCCAGCCTCTGGTGCCCAGGATCATCTCTTCATCCAGGGGGAAGCCTGTGATGACAGCAGCACTAATGACATCGTGATAAATGGAAAACAAAGCACTCGTCCTTTTATCCCTAACAGCAACGGTGGCAAAATCCAGGATTTGCTGATTATTTTCCTCAGTTTCCCACAATTCCTGGTCTGCGTCATCACGTTCAGAGAACAGGGAATGCAAAGCTCTTTAGTAAACACGTTTCACAGTTTGACATGCTCTCAGCACAAACTGTTGACTTTACCCCCTCGTTTTAGTCACGCTCCAGGGCTCACATTGTTAGCTCGCTGGTTCAAAATGAAACACCTCTTCAGCAACTATTGGAAGGATTGCCTTGGAAGTTTGTGCAGATGCTCAAGGTCCCCGGGAAAAGGATAGATCTTCTTCTGCGGACTAACCCTCTAGCACCACCGTGAGGAGGGCGTTTTTGGTTTTAAGTCAAACGAGTAATGGATGGATTCACATGAAATATATGAATAAATGATTTTGTCTTTCATGTCTTGACTTTAAATTTGTGTCACGTACCATGATTTACACTTAAAAGTGTCTCCTTTTTGCGTTCTTCCCTCTAAACATAATTATAAGCATTAAGCATGGCTGACTTAAACATGAGGAAAGTGTCAAAGGAGCCACTTTCACGAGTAAATCATAGCATGCTGTTTTCTTGGCTCCAATGGTAATCCAGTTAAGAGGTGACTGTGTGTGATTTTATAGCTGACAAAATCACCGTACACAGAAGCTGGAGGTGATAGCAGTGCTGGGATTTTGTTTTTTGTTTTGTATGATGATCCCAAGTTATTTATTTATTTATTTGTTCATTTGTGTGAGAACCATCAGACACTGCAACAGGTCTGACAACTGTAGGGAATTTCTTTTTTAAATTTATGTAACTTTTTATTTGGCATCAACCTCGCCTGCGTTTGTCTTTGATTTAAAGAAGAAAGAAAGATGGGAAGTGTTTTAAAAAATGGGTCAAGAAAGCGACTTAGTAAACTGGAACTAGTTTAACATTCCACAGCTTAACACGCTGACATAAGCCTTAATGGGTGTTTTGCTTTTTGGAAAGCTGAAAGTTTTAGTGCTCATTCTTCAGATTCTCAGCGTGCCCGCAACTCTTTTCAGGCATGAACATCTCAACTATTTTTAAAGTAGATGAAACAGCTCTCTCCAGCTTTTGATGTGTAAGTGTCTGTAGAGTTACCAGAATACCTGATGTATGAAGATATTCAGAAACCCTGGATATCTCAGTACATTATTATAAACATCACATCACATTTTGCTGCATCATTTGTTTCACATTTTGGATTTTCTGGCATAATTCAAGGCTCCTGTTTGAGGACAGCTATGTGGGTGACGATCATGTGCTGCATCCTGTCCAACCGTATATTTAGTTCTGAATCAGATTGCGGTTGTGCCTCGTGGTTCTCTCCTCATCTCTTGGCATACAAGCATACACTCACCAGGCTTTATTAAGCTACTACCTGCATGAACCACCTTTTCCCGTCAAAGCTGCCTCAATTCTTCGTGGCACAGACTCTGACTTGATCACATCACACTGTTGCTGCAGATCAGATCAGCACTAACTGCTCCACACGAACACAGACGTTGGAAAACCTTCCACCTTCTCATCTCACATAGATGAAAGAAAGATCAAGGGTGTTGAGTCCTGAACATCTCAACGTGGGTGGTTTTAAAAACTGTGGTTACACATAGATTTGTGAATGACGCTCTTGCTGTTTGTGCACTGATTCAGTGTAACCGACTCTCTTCTTTTCTCTCTCCCTGGTGTCTTTTGCAGTCTAGATCTCAGCCTCACATAAATTATCTGATTATGTAGAAGTTATAAAAGAAAAAGCTGTTAGGGATCAGCTGCAGGAGGTGATAAGCACCTTGGTAAAGGAGCTCTGACAGATTCTTTGAAAACAAGCTTTGACATCAGAGAGGTGGCTCACCCCTGATAAACCCCTTGTCTCCTCAGAATAGCCGAGGAAGATTTCCCCCACATTCTCTTTGCTCTTGCGCTACTCGCTAGCATCCTAATCATCCAGCTCGTTGTAAATATACACTGCGTATAAATAGGGGATAACTGAGACCTTTGGATCCAGTTCCGAGGAGGAAGAGGTTTGTGTTTTGCTGCACTGGGTGGTTTGACGCAGGGTGTCCATGACTGCGGTCAGGCCGGAGGGGCGTGCATACGAATTTTAGAACCGCTCCTGCCGTCACTGCTGCTCTGCGGGCTCAGTGCAACATTTCATCTGCTTAATGGCGGATTAAAGCATCCTGTGGGGCAGATTGATATAGGCTGATGCTGTCATTTGTCATTAAAGGGGAGCGGAAGCCCATGGAAACAGGCTGGATATAGCAGCTGGATCAGCCCCAAACACTGGGCAGCTCATTGCTGTAGATGGAAATTATAAGAATATTATGTGCCTCATGAATTTAGACAGGAAACATAAATATAGGCCAGTCTATTAGCGATGAGCTGAAAATGGACATGGCAGTTAATTGGGCTTTATTGTGTGTTAAATTGCACGGCCGCGTCTGTAATCGTATTCATGTAGATGTAAATTTGCTGTACAGCACCATTAAATATGATTCTCCTTTCAGCCAATATGTTCAGATTTATTTAGTACTCATTACACTAAAAGGAGAAGCAGGTATCAACCTATGTGCAGCACAGTGTTACACCTCACCAAATGTTAATTACTATTTGCTAACGGTGGGGGAAGAAAAATAGGCTTCTGGACAAAGAAAAAAAGTTTTTATTTAATACAAATCAAATGAAATTCAAACGAAAGTCACGTCATAACAAATGGTGCAACACGAAGCTTCACACTGTTATAGGAAGAATGTAAAACAGCAAAATGGAGCTTCTGTAAAGCACTTCCTCTTAAACTGAGGAAAGCACAATTTGATCAGATCTGACAAGCCTCTGTCATTTTCATATTATTCATATTTTACAAATACATGCCAAAAATGAGTAAAGAGTTTTGGAGCCAGCATTCAAATAACTTTGTTTGGTGAAGTAGCAGTGACCATATCAAGCCAATCATTGTATATACACACACTTATGCATGGATTTATTTACATTATTTATATCAAGGCCAGTAATACCAATGTAGAAAACCTTAATATGCATGTTTTAGTTTAAAATTGTGCTTAAATGATTAGTTAATAGATCCATTAGTTAGGAGTGCTTTTACATTATTTCTGAATGCCTGAAACGGGTGATTCTTAAACAACCATTTTGGAAATGATTACCACTTACAGCCAGTGTATTTATTAAGTGAGCAAATCTGAATGCATATTCTCTGCTTCACACTCACTTTGTAAATTTATAACACTTTTTTTTTTTTTTACAATATGGCAAAAACGTGTAGTAAGTGCTTTTGTGTGCCTCTCAAATGGATTATGTATAATGTTTTAAATTAAATTTACATTTTTGTTTGTTTGTTTTTGATTGGTTAACAATAAGTGTAAACCAAACAAAATGGTTTGATTGGTGTTTGTCAGCCATTGGGTAAGAGGTGCAGTACACACTTGGACAGAGCGCCAGTCTATTGAAGGGGTTATGACCTGACCAGTGATGAATAAAAGCCACAATACATATTCAGAAGACAAGTTCAGTAATTACTAAAACAACGAAAAGCGAACAATTAACTTTGAAAAAGCTTACAGCACTGTCCAAAAGTCTTGAGATACACCTCAATTTAAAAAGTATTTTGCTTTCAAGAAGCCAGACGTTCTGGTAGCAGGGTCTTGATCAATAGTTCTCCAGGCTTTCTGAAGGTCTTTCAAAGTTTTTCTTTGGACATTGGCTGTTTTTTCACTCCAGTCGTAGTACCTGACATTTTCAGAGAAACATCCATCAGATTTTTATCCACTATGCCAGCGGTCCCCAAACGCAGTCGTTTGGTACCGAGCCAACATCCAAAGAAGAGCTTTGAATGTCCTTCAAGAGGCCTGGAGAACTATTCCTGAAGGCTACTTTAAGAAATGACAAGAAAGCTTTCCGTTGTCATAACAAATATTAACTTCACACCTCACTAGAATTATGCAAACTCAGTATTTGATTACATATTGTACGTCCACGTATACTTGGACATGTTTAAAAATAAAAAAATGTTTCCGATTTGTCTCGCAAAATACAAAGAAATATTGGTTGGCTCAAGACTTTTCCACATTACTGTATATGCTACACAAAAAAAACAAAAAAACCCAACAAGCTTGTATCACAGTTATCAGTGAATACACTTTGAATAGAAATATCCTTTTCCCCGACGGCCTCTTTTTTCCTTTGGTCTGCAAAAAAAATAAAGAGAGAGAGTGAGAAAAAAGAAACAGAGCAATGAAAACAGTCCATCCTTTCCCACAGTCACGTGTTCTGCAATCACCTGCTTTTTCCACTTGTAACTTCTACTTTGGCCAAGTTTATGTGGCCTTTGACATGACCTTTGATCCCTATGGAGAACCATCTGTTTGTGGGAAAGGATGACTGACATAATGCTAACTCTACATCTATTGCTGTGTTTTATGGTTAACTAGTAAGTGTTTAAACAGAAACAAACCAAGTCCCGGAGGTACAAGTGACAACAGCACTGCAGGGTTCATTTTTACAGTTTTTACAAATCTTTGTCCAAATAATGAGATGACTTTTAATTTTTATAAAAGGTATTTTCAGAATCTTTACTTGAATACATCAATTTTCAAATTATGTACGGAAGCTTCAAAAGAACAATTAAAAAATTGGTTTCAAACAAGAACCGTGACTACTCGAACAAAACAAATTTAAATACATCAACTTTACTTTTCTCTTCTGATAATGACCATCCATTCAAAATCCCATTTGTATAATTGCTGCTCATTGACTCTCATGATACCTCACCCACACAGTTAACAGCTAAAAAGGTCACACCGTGTGTCATGACCTTAAGTTGTGTGTTTTTTGTGAAGTTTTTATTAGGACTACTGACTTATACAGACTTGCACAAAAATACCTGGATGATAAAATGCTTCAGACCTGACAGATTGATTAGTCTAAGGTTAACTTTCCTGAACCAAGAGAAACGGTGCTCACAGAGGAACATGATGGCGATTTATAGTTTACCTGTAAATAATCACAACATCACCTCATATAATGACAAAAAATATTACAATCTGTGGCTTTGAGGTTCATAATCACAGAGATCTATGGACACTTACACTACGCTTTCATAAAAATAGCCTCAGACAAAGTTTCAGTTCACATCTTGCAGACTAACTGCAGCACCTTCATCTTTTGTGTATTCTGTGGCTTTTATAACACACTGTTACTTTTAATGCAGTGCCTCCACCCAGACAACATAATCAGCGAGTCATAGTAATAGTAATCTTAATATCATTACTCATGGAAGAATACACACACATTCAATGACTACAGTACAGGAATACGATGCGGTAAGATAAGAAACACTAATTTATCTCATATGGTAGAACTATTGAAGTTGGTGAGCTGCTCTCATAAGGTAGCTTAAAACAGCAGAAATTTTTAGTAATGTAGATTTTTAGCATCTACGAAACTATTTAAATATATGTTTATAAAAGACAGACATCAAACATGGTTTTTGAATCAATGGTTTGAAGCCTCCAGTTTGGAATTTATGCCAGATATGATCATATTTTGGATGACAGAGTAGAGCTGGACAGTTTGCTAAGTGGCTAGCAGTTTTAGCTAATTTGATTAGCAGGGTGCAGCTGTAATTCAGTGATATTTGATGGGGTGCTAGCACAAAACATGCTTAAAACACATGTACATGCAGAAAAACAAGCAAGTGCAACCTTAATGACTCTACCTTAACCTTTAAAGCTTCCCGTGACCTAAACCAAGCTTAAACGTGACCTAAGTTCAGCTATAAAAACACTAGTTATAAATTAGTCAAAGATACCATTTTTATTTATTTACCAGACTGCAAGCATGTTCATTTTTGAGTTTCAAGTTGTCATTTAAGGATCTATACGACTGCATTTGCTTCATTTTTTCAGCTCTAGCAGTTAATGTTTTGCTTTTTTAGTGTTGTGGTACCAACAGTTTTACTTAGATTAGCTTAATGATTTTTTTCCCTCTTGAACACGTCTTTAGTGACTTAAACAACACCTGGGGACACGAGGAGCTGCTGCTGACTAGCGCTATAAAGGCGCGGGGTTCCTGGCTAGCTAGCATATTTGCCAGTTGGTCAATAATTAGTGCCGCTAGCAGTCGCTACACATCAAGTTTGTGGTGTGTATCCATTATAGTGAAATTATGGTTCAGTGGTAGTTGAGTGTTGGCAGCCTGTTGAAAGAAAGTGTCTGCCTTAGATGGGGCAAGTGTCAGAAGTCTGTACTATAGCCGGTCTCTACTCTTGCTTGTGGCCTGTCATGAAGAAGATTGAATTATAACCAGTGTTGGGACTAACGCGTTATTAAGTAACGCGTTACAGTAACTACGTTATTATTGTGGTAAGGAGCGCGTTAGTCGTTACTGGGATTTAGATAGGGTCGTTACTCGTTACTTCGTGTGGTGGCTATCGCGGAGCTTCCACAGATTCAGTAACATTAGCAAGTGGTGGAGGCCAGCAGGTGGATGAGAGAAAGGGGACGCACAAGGAAGAGAGACCCGAGGCAGCCGCCAGTCCAATTGTGAACTGAACTTCAGGTAAGAAGTTATGACCTGCAGTCTATCTGTGTCAGATATAACCCAAGTTTAGGTGGAGTTTATTTTCGTTATTCTGACTTTTTCGTACTGCGTACTAGCTAGCATGATGGAGTTTCTATACAGCTGGGTGGGTGCTATGATGTTAATGATGTTGAACTTTATTTTGTTCATAAGGTTAATTATTATAGTTGCCAAAAAAACGGAATCGTCTCGTATTCAGAGAAAATATCACGCGTTTCGTATTGAGGTGAAAAGAAACACAGCGGATGTCACGCTAAACAACAGCAGCACGTTTAAGCTTGATCAGCTGTTGTTAGAATTTATTTAATATTAATTTCTAGTATCAGCTGATGTTTGCAGGAGCCACAGCTGTAAAAGCTGCTGGTCATGATATCTGTTTGGTTATCTGGTGAGAGGGAAACATGAAGATGAAACCAGGAGATGTCCTTACTGAATCATCAGAGCTGAACAGGTGATGGAGAAACAGGTTTACCTTTTAGGTGACATGAATGAGTTGAAGGGAAGTTATGAACTGTTTCTGAGAGACAAATAACACCAGGATCCTTTTTTACATAGCTGACAGCTGGTAACTGTGCAGGGGCGGGTCTAGCAAAGTGTTGCCAGGGGGCCAGGTAGGGCATTAACAGGGAGAGGGGGGCACAAGGAAATACGTTTCTCTCTTATTCTCATTTAAAATGTCCCGCTTTTAAAAAATAATTATCTGAGTCTTACAACAAACGATTGTATACCATCAAAACAGTGTACATCACTGTCACAACAGCGTTTGTTTTCATTCAAAGGATTTATGATTTTTCCCTATAATGGCGGGCTGGTCTCTAGTCAAAAGACTGGCAAAGTTATGGAGGCAACACATTAACAAGAGAATTATGAATAAAACCAAAGTTACTTTCCCTAGTAACTAGTTACTTTGAAAGTAACGAGTAACTTGAAGTAACTGAGTTACTTATGATACTAGATTACTAGTTACTAGTAATGTAACTAAGTTACTAATTTAAAGTAACTTACCCAACACTGATTATAACATACTTTTCATGCTGTCTTTTTTATTTTTTTTAATCTGTGTTGGAGTTTTGTTTTCTTCTCAGCTTTTCTTCTTTTTCTGTTCTGGCCCACTCAAAATGTCAGCATTTGACAGATGCACAAGCGACACGCAGTAAGTTTTTTTACAGACTGAGCATGTTTGTGGCAGTTGAAAGCCCCTTTTTTAGGCTCCCTGTAGGCAAATACCTCCACAAATGCGCACAACCACAACAACATAAATTAAACATTAGTGTCTGTCAATGTAATATGCGGATTATAGTCTGCAGGTCTGCATAGATTTTAAAAGAGTCTAGTTTTTCCATTTGAATGCTTCGATATAGAAGAACTAAAAGCTTGACTCACTTCACAACATAAAAGCAAAACAAAGTTTCGACTTTTTAGGATCTGTCATGTGACCCAAGTTCACTTTAAACCGTGTGTTACTGATGAGAAACAGAGATGTAATAAAGTCACAGTGTGTTTCTGACAGTTTGACACCGCCTGAGGAATGTGAAGCTGATGCCGGAGGCGATACCAGCAGGTGGATGAATGTCCATCTGTCAGCAGGCCCTACTGATCACAGCAGCCCTGCCAACTGCTCTAAGCCCGAAGAGGAATGTTTAAAAACCAGCCCGGAGAGGACAACCAGAGAGGAAGCATTATGTTGTAGGCTTTTTGGGGGAATCGTAGGTCAGCTACATTAAGTTTTGGACATGAAAATGGTTGCATCTCTTGCCTTCATTGTTTTGGAGTAAATTTTGTTGGTCCACAGATCGGAAGATATCAGATTTGGTCCAGATAACACTCTATTTTTCCTCCATTCAGTCAGACAGGCTCACAGTGTTGGTTTCTACTTCTACTTCTTTGCACCTGTAGAAATTTACTGCAGGGTTTGGAATCCCTGAAAGTCCAGCTAGTCTAAATTAGCCATAATAACTTTGATCAGTCATGTTTAACATTTGTAGAACGCTTTGGTTTGTAAATGCCAGGAAAACTTAATACATGCCCTCACCTTTGTTTTCTGCATCAGTTAATATATGTTACCATGGCAACAAGCTAAAATAAGATAATGAATATCGCAAACGTGACCTTTGGAGCATTGGTATGTCAACATCGGCAATGTGAACATGCTAACAGTCACCATATAGGTCTTAACCTAATTATAGCCTTAGACAGAGGCTAGCATGGCCACTTTCAGATTAGCTGAATTTGAACTGTATCGTGTCTGAGTGTGACTGTCCCCGCCTCCCAGCAGTTACACTATTGATTGTGTCTAAAGATGCTTACATCATTCAAGATTCATGACAGCTATGCTTGAAGAACTGACTGCTGAACAATGTGATATAGTATCCTCATCATTCCTTAATATTGAAAAGGACATGGGCAGGGATGGTCATACCAGGGGACTAGTGTACAGGGTTTATCTATGCAGGCTGAGCTGTGATGTACAGCAGCTGAATACAGCACAGAAAGTAGTGTGAAATGAATCAAAACTCTTTAATATATATTCAAGTTAACAATCTCATATGTTTTACATATATACAAAATCTCCCATGAATAAGTCTGTGAATCAATTATCATGCCAAGT